AGGGGGGCGACGAGGAGGAGCGCGAGAGCCAGGCAGGCAGGCAGGCAGGCAGGGCGGGAGGGAAAGTGCGCCAGCGCCGTGCGCTTCCCTTCCCGGGCGGGCGAGCCAGCGAGCGAGGCAGGCGGGCGGGCGGGCTGTGCCTGCCTCGATGACGTCTGCGGCCGCCGCCCGCGCATGCTCGATGACCACCCCTGGGCGCTACCGCTGCTGTGTGGCTTTGGCAAGGAAAAAAAATACCGGGGGGTGTCGAGAGAGCGGATGATCGTTCTCAGCCCCCCACCAAAAAAAACCAAGGATGATCGTTCTCAGCCCCCCACAGCCCCCCCCGCCCCGAATTGCTGTTGCTGGAATGCAGCTCAGCTTCCACTCCCTCGGACCCCCACAGGCAAGACGGAGGGGGGAGGATTTAACCCGGGTTTAGCCCCTCCCCCCGGGTATTTAGTGATTTCCTGCACCCCTTGCTGCAGGGGCTTCGAGGAGGTCAGCTGAGAGGGTGGGGGGGGGGGGGGGGGCCCCGGCGCCCGAGGCCTTGCTTCCATGCCTCCTGCCTCCCTGGGGTCATAGGTAGGAGCTTAGTAGGGGTAGAGAATCTGCTTGGCATCTCCTGGTTCGGTACTAGGGTTGGCAACCTCCAGGTGGCGGCTGGAGGTCTCCTGCGATTGCAGCTGATCTCCAGACACCTGGAGGAAATGGCCACTTTGGAAGGTAGACCCTGTGGCCTTATACCCGCTTGAAGTCCCTCCCCTCCGCAAACCCCGCCCTTCTCAGGCTCCAGCCCCAAAATCTCCAGGTATTTCCCAACCTGGAGCTGGCAACCCTATCAGCACCTCTGGTGATAAGGGGTTCAGTTCAGTAGGAAGTGATGTGAAAGAGCTCAAACTCAGACCCTGGATAAAACCCCTGCTGGTCAGAGTAGACATGGGTGAAAAGTCTGACTCAGTATAAGGCAGCCTCCCTCGTTCAAAACTCTCTTGAGGAGGGGGCTTTGGCTCAGTGGCAGAGCATCTCCTTGGCATGCAGGGACCTCCCATCTCCGGGGGAAAGGATCGGGCCCTGGGGTGTGTGAAAGCCTTCTGCCCAAGATCCTGGAGAGCTACTGCCAGTCAGAGCAGACAAGACCAGTCTTGATAGACCAATGGAGGCCCCGGTCACACGGCAAAGTTGCCGTAGGAGAGGCACGGGAGTCCCACGGATTTTCCGGGCATGATCTCACCCCAACATCTGGGAAGCGCAGTGCTCCCGTGGCGAACCCGTGGCTCCCCGCTGAAGGTGCGGAGTTAAAAAAAAGTACCTACAAGGTACTAGTTTCCTGAAACCGCGGGCCAAGGGCGGGCGTCTGATCGCGTTCCCGGTGGACTTACATGGCATCCGGTGCCCGCTGCTGTTCGTCTCCACAGGTTGCGCAACAGTGCCCAACAGCGCATGCGCACAAAGAGCGATTGCCAGTGCAATCACGCGGCGTGGCTTCTGTGCCGCGCTGCAGGATACCTGTCTGATTGGCATTTCCCCCGAACCACGGGACCTCGACCAGGACGTGTGCTCGGGCAGCCACGCGTTAGTTTCCTCCAGGGCATTTAGCCACGGTTCCCCCTCGCGATATCCGGCCCATGTGACCAGGGCCGGAGTGACTCAGTACAAGATGGCATCATCAGAGCTTTTGATTTAAAAAATAAATCTGGGAAGCGGGTGCTGTTTTGAGAGTAGAGCTGGGCGGTTTTGTGGGGCAAGGCAGAGCCTGATGGGTTTTCATGGAACTTGGGGGGAGGCGCTAGTGGTTGTTGGGACAGGCCTGGGCTTCCCCACAGCATCAATGAAGTACACTTTTGCAGGAAGGTTTTACTTTATTTGAAGCTATAGGTGCAGGTACATGAGTACTGTTAGGAATGGGGAACAAGCGTCGAGCATGGCATGTTATAGTACATTCAAACAACTGAGGCCCAATTGCGGGAGTTCCCGTGCGTGCCATCGGGCCTGGGAGCAAACGCTTCTAGGCGGCATAAGCAATCTCCTTCGCACGGTTCTTCGTGAGATCACCCAAGCAACTATCCAGCAGCAACCACCTGTGGCCTTGAGAGATATGGATGTTCCAGCAGCTAAGCAATTAAGCGCATCAACAGGTCTACATATGAAAGCGAAAGCGCATACATGAAGAAAGGGGGGAAAAAACATTGGCAGCTTGCTGACAGGGGGAGGGGAGATCAATAGAGAAAGCTTTTAATGTTCTTTCCTCCTGCCAAAAGCCAGTGTCGCCTAGTGGCTAGAGTGTCAGGTTAGGATCTAGGAGACCCCGGTTTGAATCCCTACTCTGCCATGGTAGCTTGCTGAGTGACCTTGGGCCAGTCACACACATTCAGCCTGATCTACTTTAGAGGGTTGGTTTTGTGAGAATAAAAATGGAGGAGAAGAGAAAGCTGTAAGCTGCTTTGGGTCCCTATTGGGGAGGAAGGTGGGAGTATAAATGAAGTAAATAAATATATATGCCACCGGTGTTTACTTAAGAATAGCCCATTTCTTCTAGTATCTGTCCCTGGCAAAATATTTCCCCTATTTTTTTTAGGAAATGTGCATAGGTACCCCAGAGTTCCTTCCATCCCCACCCTCCTAACTATCTAGACAGTCATGTTGCTGAATGTGTTTGAGTTGCAGATATTCTGTGATAAGTACAAGTACTAGTAGATCTACTGTGAGATCAAAGCTTTCTAAAGAAGAACAGAATTCTTCTGGTCAGTTGACCATCATGCCTGTTTTGGCCGCCAGGGAAGGCTATGGCAAGATAAATAAACGCAGCAAGCATCAGCGAGCCTCGAGTGATGAGTCAGAGAGGACCACTTGACTGGCGACTGCAGGAAACAAAATGCCCAACTAGATGGGCCATCGGTCTGATCCAGCAGGGCTGCTCTTAGGCTAACAGAATGTTCAGACCGGGAACGGCAATCAGGCAGTGATCCTGGGGCCGAGAACAGGACAGTTCAGCGCACAACCATTTCCCTCTTTTCTGAAAATGCATTCGTTTAAACAGTGTACACCTCACCTCTTAGCCTAATGCCCAAGGTCGCTTCTGATAGGAGAAAGGGGTAAATTATAGGCCTGGAGCTCCACAGACAGGGCTTTGAGACTACTGACTGTAGAACCATTTTGTTTGTTTCTTGCCATCAAGTCACAGCTGTCTTATGGTGATCCAGTAGGGTTCTCTAGGCAAGAGATGTTCAGAGGTGGTTCGCCACTGCCTGCCTCTGTGCAGCAACCCTGGACTTCCTTGGTGGTCTCCCATCCAATGCTCCCTCTAAGCTGCGGAGTCTTGTGAGCGGAAATTCTACTTTGTGAGCTACCGGCACTAAAGTTGTGAGTGAGTGATTTGGCTACTGCTTACATTAGTTTGCTCTGGAGCCATCCTTCTTGAGCCAAGACAAAGATGTGTGAGCCTGAGGCTACAAAACTGTGAGCTAGCTCACACTCACTTAGCTTAGAGGGAACACTGGTCCCATCCAAGTATTAATCAGGGCGGACCCTACTTAGCTTCAGAGATCTGACGAGATGATGCCAGATGGTGCTGTCCCCCATCTTGATTCAATGCAGGGATACAAACAGCCACATTGCGTCTCTACCATTCCTTGCTGCCTCTGACAGTTATCTGGCCCTCTATTCTTTGTGCCAAGCCGAAGAAGCCCTAAAATGGCTGTTGGCCAGCAGCCATGGCCAGGCCTGTGTAGCCACAACCCTCTCTGTCTCTGCTCCTTCAAGCTCTCAAGTGACTCCTCCCACCTTGGTCCCACCCCCAACCAGGTGTGCCCTGTCTGGGCTATCCCCTCAGCTGTCAGCCTCACTGGCTTTAAGGGGCTGAGGTGGCTTAGGTCTCCTGCCTCTGGGCTGCCTTGCTGAGCCCTTGCCAAGGGCTTCCCAACTGGCCTCCGTGGGGGCGTCTGGGGTGTTGACCAGTGGAAATGTGTCCGGTCCCCCACAGCTATTAATCCAATACACATTTAGGTAA